TTCCCTTGCCATGTTCTGTGGATCCTGAAGGAAAGTCATATTATTCATGTTGGCCAATGCCGATGGCCAGGTCTTGGTTACATTACTCGAACTCCACCACTGCCTGTTGTTCCATTGTCCTAAACAGGGGGTGTCCCCTACTTCTGTACCACTTCCTGCGTCTGACTTATTTCTGACAAAACATTCTAACCCCACAAGGCTATTTGAGACTTGCCAAATTTCATTACCTGGGTGGTGGTATGTATAATTCTTTTCATTTTTCCAAACCTCAGTGTAGTTTACTTCGTGAGCAACCCAGGGCCATTGGTCTCCCATATTCGTCCCTCCACACACAAAACAATTCTTCACAGTTAGCTCTTTGGCGATAGTCTCAGCTAAACTTAAAAACATGTTATGAGCTTTTGGGGGAAGGAGCAAACTATTTAAGTGTTGTATTTCTTCCTCAAAACTCTCAAATACTGAGATTGGCTGTTTACTGACTTTAGTGGTATGTATTTTAATAATTAGATACCCATAAGGATCTCTTCCGGCCCCGTCTATTCCCAATCCAAGATAAACGTATTTGGGGGTAGTAGAAGGCAGCTCCCTAGCCCATAAACAGATGGGGTTGCATTTTCCTATGCTGCAGTCAGTGGACGCTCCCTCCCTTGTTATGTTTATTCCTTCTGGACCTTTATATGTGGGGTTGGAGCTCACTCCTTCTGTGTACCAATAGTTCACGATTCCTCCTCCTGCCCCTATGTTGCCTCCCTTATTCGCTGAAATAGATATTTACTCTCTGTTAGATAGGATTGTTCCCAACCATGGGATCCACAGGTCACCCCTTCTTGGTTGTTTGGTCCCTGTCCTTTGGCTATAGCTGTGCAAGCATCAAAACATACGTGGATTGTTGCAGTCCCTCTGGTCACATTGTGAGCTATATACCCCTGCCTCTGCTGAGCCAACGCGAATGCTACCGATCTTTGTTGCCGCCTCCCTACTGCTCCCCCTTTGTATCCATATACGTAAACGGTGGAGGTGGTGGGTCCTAAGGCCAAAGGTTCATAACATTCTGTTTTATTTTCTCCAGTTTTACATCTATAGTACTGGGTCTGATTGTGGACACAGGGGTCTAGTATCTCCTTGCACTCTGGAGCTACATTATAATACATTAAGGTCCTTGTAATTTTGTTCCCTGTTTTTGTGACTTGAATACATTCTGTACATTGTAGCGTTTCCGCGGAGCCCCGGACCACACCAACTGTTAAGAGGCCTAACAGAAATCCCCTCATCCAACTTATTTTCATATTATTTGTTTTCCAACTCTCTGAGAGCCTGGACCACCGTGGGGGTCTGAACTAAACTGCAATATATAATTGTCCCTCCCGGTGCAATCGTACAGTATTGGAGTATTATGTCCTCTATGCACATGAGATTGCACTCTTCCGTGCAGTGGACACAGCAGACACACCCTTCACAGTGGGCACAGCAACAGCATTCGAAAAGACACTTGCACGTGCAGAATAAACACATTGGAGCTCTAGTTATTGCCTTACAGTCCTTCCCTGGTTCCCGGTCCCTGATTTTGTGATTCTTATTTTTAGTGGATCGTCTAGGCTCGGTATGGCCGTCCAACGTTCAGGCGGGGCCCTCTTCACGCGGTGGTAGTGGGTCCATCCATACTCACGAGTCCGTACTGCTGATTCGGTGATAAGCAGGACCCGAAATGGACCATCCCAACCCGGGCTGAGCTTTTCCGCCTTCCACGTCTTAATCAGGACCAGGTCACCAGGCTGGAAACTGTGTTGCTGCTCCAGTAGCGGAGGGCGTTGGGCCAGGATACCGCGTCTATGAAGAGACAACAAAGACTGGGAGAGTGATTGCAAATACTTTCTAATGAACAAGTCTTTGAACTCCACCATCGGTTGACCTAGTTGCGCCAAGTATGGTCTTCCCATCATCAACTCAAATGGGGATACCCCTAAGTCCTTTCTGGGGGCTATACGCATCCTTAGTAAAGCCAAAGGAAGGTTTTTTGTCCATGGTAATCCATTTTCTAAATATAATTTAGTTAAATGTTTTTTATTTCTGCATTTGCCCTTTCCACCTTCCCGCTACTCTCTGGATGCCACGGCGTGTGAAGGTCCCATTTGATTCCTAGGGCTGTCATTACTTCCTGTAGAACCTTCTGTGTGAAATGGGTGCCGCGGTCTGAGTCTATGGCTTCTATTATACCAAACCGGGGGACTATATGTTCCAGAATGGCCTTGACTACTACCTGTGCTGTTGCTTTTCGACTTGGGAAGGCCTCCACCCATCCTGTAAGATGATCTTTGAATACCAGAAGATGTTTATAACCTCCCTTCTCTGGTAGCTCTGTGAAATCCACTTGTATTCTTTGGTATGGCCATACTGCTAGAGGTCTTCCCCCTTTTTCTGTTTTCTTCGCTTTGGCCTTATTTACCTTGTGACAGATTATGCATTTCCAGGCTATGGAGTGGGCCATGGGCCACATATCTTTACTCCAATACAATGATTTCACCAGGTTAACCATAGCCTCTGTCCCGAAATGTCCACTCTCATGTATCTTCTCTAGAATCCCCATCATTACAGTCTTTGGCAGTACTATTTGTCCCTCTGGGGTCCTCCATTCCTTACCCTTCTTTTCCCATTCCTCTCTTGTTATATATTCTATCTCTTGAGAGGTGAAAGTTAAATTCTCTGTGTCAGCCGTGGTAAGAATGGGCACCCTCAGGGTACATTGCTGTATTGTTATCTCGTTTGGCACTCCCTTAGCGGCTTCTTTTGCCCTCAAATCAGCCCATCTATTTCCAGCTTCCTCAGGGGTAGTACCCCTGGTGTGAGCGGGGATATGTACCACTGCAACCTTTTCTGGTCCAGTAAGGGCATCCAACAGCCTTTCCAACAAGGCCATGTGTTCTATCTGTTTCCCATTTGCCTTAATGAACCCTCGGTCTCGCCAGGTCCTCCCGAAAGTATGCACCACACCCCATGCATAACGGGAATCGGTCCATATGGTTACTTCCAGGCCCCTAGCCAACTCGAGGGCCCGGGTCAAGGCCATGATTTCACTTTTCTGGGCCGACCAATTCGCCGGCAAGGCCCCACTTTCGATCACCTCCCCATCCTCCTTGACTACAGCATATCCTGATTTCCTTTTTCCCTCCTTAACATAACTAGACCCATCTATGTACCATCTCTCTCCCATTGTTAAAGGGGTTTCAGATAAATCTTCTCGGACCTTTGCCATTAATTGTATTGTGCCCAAGCAGTCGTGTTCATCCGGTTCCCATTCTTTCCTTTCTCCTATCAGGAATTCTGCCGGATTTAGATTCCGATCAGTTCCCAGTGTGATATCAGGGCTTGTTCTTAGCACTGTTTCATAGTGCGTTAAGCGGCCATCCGTCATCCAGGTGGAGGCTGCCCCAGTCAGCACCGTGGATATTTGATGGGGACTATGAACAATTAGGGCTCCTCCAAAAGTTAGCTTTCTGCTTTCAACTACCAATTCAGCCGCTGCTGCCACCACCTGGATGCACGTGGGCCATGCTCGCACTACTGGCTCCAGGGTTCTGCTGAGATAGGCTACTGGCTGATACCGCCCCCTCTTTTGGGCTAAAACTCCGACAGCAGTCTGAGAGCTGATGGTTACATATAAGTGGAATGGCTGTTGGAGGTTCGGTAGTGCTAGGACCGGGGCCCCTATTAATGTTTTCTTTACTTCTTCCCATCTTTGTTCATCATCTTGTCCCCATGTTATTTCACCGTCTCCGACTAGTTTTTGGTTTAAAAACCGAACCAGCTTGGCAAATTGGTCTATCCACAGTCTACAATATCCCAGGAGTCCCAGCATTCTCCTCACATCTGTTTTGTTCTTAGGGGGTTGTAATTCTAAGATCCCCTTGACTCTTTCTGGATCCAATTTTCTTGTTCCCCCTTCTAACAAATGCCCCAAATATTTCACCTTCCGCTGTACAAACTGTAATTTGTCCTTAGACACCTTCACCCCTAGCTTACCCAGCCAATTCAGCAATCTTATAGAGTCTTGTCTAACCTCTTTCTCTTTTTCTCCCATCATCAGCAGATCGTCTACATATTGCAACAAGCTATTGGGGCCTGTGGTGGTAAAACCTGCTAACTTTTCCCCTAGTGCCTGCCCAAAAAGAAGTGGACTTTCTGTATACCCTTGGGGCAAGACCGTCCATCTATATTGTTGTTTTCTGCCCGTGTTCACATCTTCCCACTCAAAAGCAAATAGATCTCGGCTTTCAATGTCCAGGGACAAGTCCAAAATGCATCCTTTAAGTCTATAACGGTATACCATCGGGTAGTGGGTGGAATGCGGCTAAGGAGAGTATATGGGTCCGGTACTACCGGGAAACGGGGGACCACTATCTGGTTTATGTTCCTTAGGTCCTCAACCATTCTATATTTCCCATCTTTCTTTTGCACTGCTAAGATAGGAGAATTAAAAGGTGACATGGTGGGTTCTAATAATCCCTGCTTTATCAGTTCATTCACCACCGGCTGCAACCCTATTCTCCCCTTCCTAGTCATTGGGTATTGGGGGGTCCATGACTGGGTGATTCCTGGCTTTACTGTGACCTTAATGGGGGCTATGTCCAGTCTCCCTACCATCTTCCCATCTGCCCACACCATTGGGTCTATTTGTTCCTCATCCTCTATCTGCAGAGGGTACATGGGAGTTCCTAAGTCTAAATCCAATAACTGAAATCCCAATTCTACCATCAAATCTCGCCCTAACAAATTTATTCCTGACTCAGGGATGAATAATAATGATCCCTTAGCTATCCGGTCTCCTCTTCTTATAATGGTTTCTTCTAATTGCACAACTTCCTTTGGTTTCCCGCTTACCCCTACTACTTTCAAATTTGACATTGTTTTACGTACCCCTGGAACAGGTACACATATAGAGGACCGGGTCGCTCCTGAGTCTATCAGAAAAACCACTGATTTCTGAGAGGGCCCCACACACAAGTTCACCAGTGGCTCATTCCGGGCCCCATGGAGCGAGCCGGAGGTTCCCTATTCATCATATAAACTGAACAACTCAGTTGTGTCAGTTCCTCCCTCTCTTTCTGTCTGTCTTGGCCTCTGACTTCCCTGTCTTTGCTCATTTCTTTCCAGTATCTGATCTCGTGGGGTCCGACATTCTCGGGCAAAATGACCAGGTTTGTTACATCGATAACAAATGACACTGGAACCTGGTGTGTAACCCCTCTCCCTCGCCCTCTTCCCCGATATGGGGCTCCCCCACGTCCTCTCGCAGCCTCGGTTTCCTGTTGTTTCTGAACTTCCCAAGTTTTCTGCAAAGTAGCCGCCATCATCTGGCACTTCTGCTTACTTTTTACTGCCTCCCTGTTGACGTAAACCTGCTGCGCTGTCCTTACTAGATCTATGATGGCGGCGTCTTGCCAGTTCATTTTCTGCAATTTCTTTTGAATATCGGGCCATGCCTTGGTTACGAATTGCATCTTTAGCAGATTGTCAAACGCCGGTGAATCTGGGGCCACCCCTGAATACTTAGTCAAATGGTCTCTAATCCTTTGTATGAAGTCACCCGGTGACTCCTCTTTCATTTGATTGACCTCAAAAGCTTTGGTGAGATTGGTGCTTTGGGGTACAGCCCGTCTAATTCCTTCCAAAATCATCTCCTTCAGATCTATCAAATGAGTCCGATGATTTGCATCGTTTATGTCCCAATTCGGGTCCCCTAGGGGAAATTTGGTCTCCGATGGAACCACCTGTTGTACACCTTGACCCGGTACTGGCGCGGCGACCCGTTGATCCTCCTTAACTTCCCAGTACTGCATTGCTGCCCTCCTAATCATTGCTTTTTCTTCTGGGGTAAACAAATGCCCCAATATATACATCAATTCGGTGTATGTGTATATATGAGGTCCCATCCACATTTGGAGGAGGTTCGCGACCTCCTGACTGTTCTCATGCAATTTGGGCAGTGTCTGTTTCAATTCCCTGAGTTCTGATGGCTTGATGGGACTGACCACATATACCATAACTGGATTTCCTTGTGCATTTATCCCTCCGGGGGTCTCCCTAAGGGGGAAAGTATGAACGGGAGAGTCTCCTGGGTCCTCCGTCCGTGAGAGTCCCCAACCCTCCCTTCCTCTATACATTCGGAATGCATCAACCAAGGGGGAACCGCGGGGCTTTCCCTCCGGGAAAGGGAGATTCCGTATATCCCTCTCTAATTGTTGCACTTCCCTACTCGGTGGTTGATAAGGTGGCGGTGAACAAATTTCCTGATTCGGCTCCTTCCCACTAACTCCCTCCCCAGCGTCCTGATTCCCCGGGGATGTCTGACCCCTCTCCAGCCGGGCATTACCCGGGGGACTCGTGACCGCCGGGTGTGCCGGCGGGCTTGGCGGCCGTTGCGCAACTACGGGAGGGGCAGAGGGAACAGGACGTGTTTCTTCATCTGAATCCTCCTCCTTCTTCCTCAGGGGAAACTGACTAACGGGCGGGGGATCCGGTCCGTAGAACCGGGCGTGGAACCATACCTCTAGATATGGTTTCTCCTTTTCCTTCTTATTAAGTATCAAATAATTCCTCAACTGGGTCATCCAGTACCTATCCGTCTCCCCCTCTGGATCCCAAGTATATGCACCTTCTGGCCCTATTGGATATTTTGGCCAGATGTTCCTGCAAAAGTTAATCATAGTCACCTTCATCAAACTCCTAGTGAATTTCCTTAAATAGTCCTCATCCCACTGGATCAACACCTGGCCCAACGGGCTATTAGAGTCGATTGGGCTTTTCCCATTCTCTTCCCTCTGTCTTTTACTCTGACTCCTGCCCATGGTTTACAATGTCTCCAATTCCACTCACACACACAGTCGCACGGAATCGCCTGGCCGCTTCCCTCGCGGGATAGACGGAACCGCAAGCTTATCCTCTCGTCAGGGTCGAACCCTGATCCACACTCACGCGTCCGTATGGAGCCTCTCTTTCATTCAGGAGACGAGTCTCTCGCCCCCGTCCCACAGCACAGTTTACCAAGTTCTTATGTCTACTCACCCAATACAGTCCAGCGTCGCTTCTCGCAACTAGTGAACAGGCGGGCGTCCCCGCTGGGTGCTCGCGGTCCCAGACCAAGAACTAGAGTTTTCCCTACTTCCTTATATTGAGTCCTGTCTTAGCCCTCGTGAGCTGTCGCGGGCAGATCTAGGTCCGGGCTACTCCGAATAACGGAGTGGCGCCGGCCCGGAATCCGCGTTCCCCGCGCAACCCGTCGAGGGCCCCACGTTGGGCGCCAAGAATTGTTAGATATTATTCGTGGAGACAAAGGACTAAGACTCCAGTATAAGGATAACCCTTTTATTCAGCGCGTTTGCAAAGGCGGACTCCTCGTACCCGTGGATACGAAGAGCCCCGATCAAGTTTCAGTACAGCAGTTTTATACCTAGCTGCCGCCCCTCTTTTGGAGGCTTGGCTTACAATCTATCTATGCAAGTTTGACACGTGTCTAATACATTGTTCAATCTACTCTATTCATGTTGCTCATTATCAAATATGGGCACCACCTTTGGCTTGCCTCAGTGTGGGTGGGAAGAAGCAGCTGCAGGAAGCCTAGATAAGCCTAACTGTGAACAAGAAGTTTGTGGCTTCTTACAAAGAACAGAATGCTATCAGCTTGCGCCTGTGACTGCGTTATCTCATGCTCGTGACTGGCTCTCAAGGCTGAGTTTGAGGCACATACTATCTGTATTGTTCCTTTGTTTCCCGATCTTACAGTTTCCCAACCTCACAGAACTGCCTCTTCCAGTATGCCCCACGGAGGATCTTAAGGTCCATAAATAGCAACACCCTAGAGTTCCTGGGCCCTAAGGAGGTCAGATTAGCCTCAACCAGAGCCAGGGCCTTTTCAACACTGGCTCCGGCCTGGTGGAATGCTCTGTCTCATGAGACCAGGGCCCTGCAGGATCTGATTTCTTTCCACAGGGCCTGTAAGACAGAGTTGTTCCGCCTGGCTTTTGGCCTGGAATTAACTTGATTCCCCCCCCCCTTTCCCCCTTTTTCCTTCTGTGATGGAACTCCTACTTGGGGACTTCCCTGGCTTTTTTCTGGCCCATGTAGGACCAGTCTGGATAGTTAGCCTTGGTGAAGACTTGACGTTTTCATACCCAAAAAGTTTTTGAGTTTCTGCTGAAATGAGGCTGCATTTTAATGTTTTAATGTTGTATTTTAATCAATTTATTTTATATTTGGTGTTAGCCACCCTGAGCTTGATCTTGGCTGGGGAGGGCGGGGTATAAATAAAATTTATTATTATTATTATTATTAGCTGTTCACACCAGGGCTAGAGCGTTTGTGCCCGGTCTACCACTACAGAACAATTGAGGGAGAGAGCAGGACTCCAGGTTAAGGTGAGCGGGTCGCCATCTTGCTTAGCGGAGCTATGGGAGAGACAGACAGAGAGAAAGAGTGTAGTCGCTGCACATTCTATACATGACCTGTTTTTGTTCTCAATAGTTTTTTCTTTTATTTATTTTAAGCCTCAACCCCGCCCCAGTATCTCTGATGTAAACCCTCTAGTTGCACATTTTTACCTCAGCTTTTTTCCCTGGTCCATTGTAGCATCTTAGAGTGGAGGGCTGATCTAGGCAAACCTCCTTGCACAAGATTAAAGCCTTTGTTATTTTCTGTTACAGAGCCACAAAGAACCTGGAAGCTTTGTAAGCTGTAACAGTTGTGGCAACTAGCAACATACCAAGCAAATTCACTTTTCTGCTAGGTGGTAACTGAGACCATGATAGATCGCAGGACGACAACAGTTATTATAATTATATTAATCCCCATATGTGTAAACTAACCCTGCAGGAGAGATATTGATAATAGATGCTATTTAGTCACAATGCAGCGTTAATCAATGGCGAAGACATTTTTATTTTTTTTCAGTGCGGGGGCTTATTGATTGATTCCATGTAAATAGGTGGAACCATTTAATTAGACGCAGCTGCAGATGTAATAACTCTCAGCAGGGCATTGACAAGGTGCTCCACAGACAATGACAGAAGCTTATTTTTCTGATGTTTATTTATACTGGTAAGGTTCATCCCAAAAGTACAAGTGTGCTTTTAGGAGATGTATTTTATCTTCATGTTTTTTCCACAGTGCTGCTTATCACAGCTTAAGCTCTCACAGTGCTGGTTTATTGTAGGGTCTTTGTGCTATCTTGAATAGTGATTACCTCCCCCCCCTTGCCACAGAACTCCATGCCCAACGCCACATGTGTTTCGTTCTGCATTGCCCCAGGAGGTGAGGGCAGGAGTTTTGCTTGTGTTGGCACCCACAAGCCAAGTCAATGTGGCGGTGTGGAGTGGATAGGCAGTTGAATACATGCTAGGGAGACCCAAGTTTGAATCTCTTATCAGCTATGAAACACATCAATCTTCCACCACCTGCTATCTCCCTGGCTTATGTCCCTCATAGTCATGAGGTGGGCAGTCAAATTGAGGAAGGAAGTTCCAGAGGATGTAGTGTGTGTGTGTGTGTGTGTGTGTGTGTAAATATTTTATTCATTTTCCATTTTTTATATTATAATCACATCATATCTCCTTTTATAAATTTTTAGCTCTCGCAAGCTATCAACTTCCCTCTGTTCCATCGCCTGGTTTTTATAACACATACAGTATCTTAAGTCCACACATTTATACCATCTCATTTCTACATTTATCATTAGAAAGTTTACATTTAAAACCTGAGTAGAAAGTTTCTTCCAGTATTTGCTGCATAGGTCAGCACAGTCCTGCAAGTGTCTCTACATGTTTATAGTTACTAAGTATATATTGAGTAAATTTACTCCAGTCTCTCTGGAACGTCTGGTCGCTCTGGTGTCGGATTTTCCCCATCAGCTTTGCCAGTTCCACATAGTCCATCATCTTTGTCTGCCAATCTTCCACTGTCGGTAATTCTTGCTGTTTCCATCTTTGGGCTAATAAAGTTCTTGCTGCCGTGGTATACATAAATAAATTTTGATCCCCTCTTGAAATTTCCTCTCCTGTCATACTTAACAGAAAAGCTACAGGTGTTGTTGTTTTTGAAAGGTATATCTAAACATTTTTTTAAAAATTCATTATAAATATTCTCCCAAAATACTTTAACTTTATCACATGTCCACCACATTGAAACACATCGAACTTGCACCACCTGCTATCTCCCTAGCTAACTTCCCTTGTAGTCATGAGGCGGGCAGTCAGATTGAGGAAGGAAGTTCCAGAGGATGTAATGTTAATGACTTAATATATCATAGGATTGTATCGAACCAAATTTTACCCAGAGCAAGCCCATTGAGATTGGTGGACCTAAGTGAGTCATGTGTGCTAATTTCAATAGGACTACTATGAGTATGACTAACACTGGATAAAACCTAGTTTATTAAGGTGGAAATAATTAGTCATTAGGCCTGGGCCTCCATGCCCCTCATCTGACCTCTTCTTGTCATGAAAAGACTTCAGTGCTTTAGGAACATATGTTGTCTAGCAGCCTGCTTCTTGCCGTGGACAGCCAGATAGGAACATAGGCCTTATACCAAGTCAGACCATTGGTCCATCTAGCTCAGTATTGTCTACCCTGAGTGGCAGTGGCTCTCCTGGATTTTAGACAGGGAGTCTCTCCCAGACATACCTGGAGATGCCAGTGACTGAACCTGGGATTTTCTGCATACCAGGCAGGTGTTGCACCTCTGAGCCCATCCCAGGCACCTTTGAGAAGCCCACAAACAGGATTTAATCCTGCCCTCTTTCCATCACAGTTTCCCATCCTATCCAACACAAGGAACTGTGGTTTAATGTCAATTTCCTAACCAGGGTCTGAAAGTACAGTCGATCCTCTTGCCAGATTTTGACCAGGTGCTCATTCCTGGCTTAATAAGCCACACTTTCCTAAGCTAGGCCCATTGAATATGAATTAACTAGTCTTGCAGAGCCATCCTCCTTAGTGCTGGCAATGAAGGACACAGAGGAAGGCCCATGCTGGTTCATAATGGAAAATGTGATCCTGTAGTTATTATGGCCGCAAGACATTTGGGGATTTAAAGGTCAAGAACAGCACTTTGAATTGGGCTGGAGACAACCCATGAGCCAGTAAAGCCGATGCAGTATTGGCACAATATATTCAATGTGCCCTGTTTATTATACTGCATCTGCAAATGAGCTCCCTCGGTAGCTTCAAGCGGATAGTAAAAGTAAACAGTATGGAGGCTGAGATGGAACTTTGCAGGACCCTACATAAAAGCTGCTATGGGCTGGAGGAGAAACATCCCCTTGGACGTCTTCTCTTAAGCAGGCTCTCATGAGGGTATTTATGCTTGAGCTCAAATCCCTTTGAAATTAATGGGACTAATCAAGAGGCTTAGCCTATCATTGTTCAGGAAAGCAATTGTGCATGTAATTAATTCCCTTTCCAAGGATGCGAAATTAGCCTTACAGCAGTTGTTAGGTAGAAGATAGAGCACAATTCTCGGTAAGGGATAGTACAGTATGCCAATTATGAACCTCAGAGACACAAAATGACAAGCCTACTGAACTGAAGGGGGAGGTAGACCAACATCAGGCAGATAAAAAGTTTTTGGGGGGAATTTAATATAATTGTTGATGGTATAGAGAACTAGTAAAGGAAGAGGCAGACAGTTAGACGGGATGACTCTGAAAAGAAAATG